ACACTCGCCTCGAAAGCGAGAGAACTTGGGTTTGATTCCCGGCAGGGCGAAATGTTGGGCAAGTTTCCTTCATCCACACTCCTCTGTTTACCTAGTAGTAAGTAGGAACTTGGCTATTATTCAATTAGTGGATCGTTTTCTGGAGGTAATAATCCCTTCTAAAAAAAATAATTATTTGGTCATTTAATCCACAACTGTTCGTGGGACACTGCTGTGCACAATTGACTGCCTTGCTTCACCCACAAAATATACAGTCAATTCACTTTACAGAATATTCTGGGAAGCGCTTTGAGATGTCTAGAAGACATAAGAAGCTATATCAAATGCTAGGTTTATTATTATTAGGTATAGCACCTTTCACACGGGGAGGATGTCCCAAAGTGCTGCACAGGATTTACTATTAAGTAGAGTGACTATGTAATGATAATGCTTGCATTATCACATCATTGAGACAACTCAAAGCGTTTCGCAGAATATACTGTAAAGTGAATTGAAGTGAAATATTTTGTGGGCGAAATGAAGCAGCCAATTTGCACAGAGAGAAAGAGAGAGATAGCGAGAGAGATACAGAGAGGTAGATCATGGCATGAATTGACTTCAGTGCATTCGATGTTTTAGATAATTAAACCATAGCTGTCTGGGTGAGGCAGGCACACAGATGTATTCGTTGTATAATTAATAAAATCCAAAACATTACGGCACAATATTAATTCTGAGGTTATGGCTTCCGCGTAGACACAAGCAGCAATTCGAAAATTTCTCTTATTGCAATCTTTCCAGGCAATAATAAAAGGAAATCAATTGTCATGTTTCCTGTCAAAATGTTCTTCCTGCTCAGACTTTTAAACAGTTGGATTTTTTTTGTTGTTTTGAGTTCTCTATTATTTCCAGGTTGCGGCTTCATCTCCATATTCAAGGAAAACACGATTTGGTTTTAACATGTAAATTGCTGCTACTGAATGTATGAAGGATTTAGAAGTGACGTTAATTATTAATTATAACAAAGATTCCTCCAATATGAAGTGATTCCAGGGGCTCCCCCCCAACTCAATAAAACTCTATGAACATCAATCCAGAATACAATATAGCACAATACAAATTTACATTTATATTCCTCCTTTCATGTGAGGAAGACATCCCATCAGAAGTGACTGGTTACCCAAGCAGGGTGTGGGAGCTGGGGTGGGGGGGGGTAGAAAAATAGCTGAATGATAACTTGTAACAGACCTTGAATGAGGTGAGAACAATGAACAAGGTGAGGGAGGGGCCTTCAAAGAGATGAAAGAGGTAAACAAGGTGAGATTAGCAGAAAAGATGCAATCACTTGAAGATTTTCATTCAATCTGCCCATTGATTAATTATTTTTGTTCCCCCTCTCTCTCCAGTAACCTACTGACCTCTATCCTCAGCACCTGCTGATAACAAGACAAACCTATTGGATTAATTACCACCCTTTGCTCCAACACCACAGCTTCACAATTTCACCAAACCAGCTGAAAGAATTAATGTACCAAGGGCAACTGGACAAGATGGAATGCACTCCACAATCCTCAAGGAAACTGGCAGGACAATTAATATAGTTCTCCTCTTCTCTTCAGTGAGAGTTACACCCGAGGGCTAGAGAACTCAGATGATGGACTGAAACTTAAAACTGGAACGAGACATTAATTGGAGACTAATAGATTAACTAGTCAAGCATCAGTTACGATTGATGCTGGGTAGGGTTATACCGGACACTGACTATGTTTCACCTGAAGAACTCAGAGGCCATGAGCAATACTCCAGATAGGCTTGACATGCGATAAATAGGTCAGGCCTCATTAATCTATTGGAATTCTTAGAGGATGCAACTAAATTAATGCACAAGGGCAACTTGGTGGATACAATTCACTTGGATTTGTGGAAGGGAAGCTTTTCGAGAAGATTACAGCTCCCAGGAATTTATGGCATATTCACTTGGATGGAAAGCATTGGAAATTATTTTAGCTTGTAAAGATAATAATAACCCTTGCATTCAATATAGCGCCTTATCACATCACTGAGACAACTTAAAGTGCTTCACAGAATATAATGAAAAGTGAATTGACGGTGTATTTTGTGGGCTTTCTTAGCTGTGAGCGAAATGCGGCAGCCAATTGCACACAGCAGTTTCCAAACACAAACAGAGTGACCGCATTTTTGGGAGGTCACTGAATCCACGACTGTGGAATAATAATAATAATAATAATCCTTGCATTTGATATAGCGCTTTTCACGTCGGGAGGACGTCCCAAAGCGCTTCACAGAACACACTGTAAAGTGAATTGACTGTATATTTGTGGGCGAACGCGGCAGCCAATTGCGCACAGCAATGTCCCACAAACAGTCGTAGATTGAAAATGACCAATTTAATTATTGTTTTTAGTTTTGGAGGGATTATTATTAGGCGTGTGGAGTAAGGAAACTTGCCCAAGGTTTCGCCCTCTGCCTGGAAATGAACTCAGGTCTCTCACTTGCAAAGCGAGTGCTCTAACCACTGAGCTACAGGACTCCAATAGCAGAAAGATAAGTGGAAAGGCCTTTGTTTAGGGTGCAATGCAGTGACTGTCAAACAATCTACAGATACAGATGTTAGGATATGGATGTTAGGATACCTGCTGTTTATGCCGTTGGTCAATGATGGTTGTGAGGATGCCGGTCATATTACACTGAGGCCAAGCTATGATCCCTTTCCCCCAGCAAATCAAATTCACCATTCTCTTCATCACATTCAAATCCTCCACGGCCTCACCCCCACCCTACCTCTGTGATCTCCTGCTGCTCTACCACCCAGGTGCTCTCTCTGCTCAGTGATCACCAGGATAAAATTGATCACTCCTTGGCTGTTTATGGGATGTTGCTGATTGCAAATTGGCCGCCACATTCATTTACAAAACAACCAGTCACTGAACGTTACAGTAAATCCTGTGAAGCTTTTTGAAATATTCTCCTGGTGTGAAAGGGTGGCATTTCAAGGGTGTGTGTGTATATTCTTAACTGCAAGTGCAAATCCTTGACTGTCCAGTGTCTTGAGAGGTCCTCTTGACCTGAACGGCGCTATACAAATGTAATTTGTTGCTGTTGTAATTTGAACATGAAAAGAAACCACATCAATCAAGCAATACAGAGAAAGTCTATGCCTGCTGACTGCTTATCAGTAAAGAGCAGTCGCGTTCACTTGCCAGGACCAGAAACCGCTAAATAACGGGAGGTCTCAAATGAAGCATTTTGCCTTTCTTAGCACAGAGCAGAATAAGTATTTACTCTACCATCGGATCTGACCTCGGCACGCAATCAATTTGCTGTGCAAAATGCTAAGTTGCAAAAAAGTCTGCTTCCCAACACAGCGGGACATCTTGGAAGAGGTTTGGCTGGATGTGTATAAATCAGCGATGGCTGTCCATCAGTTAAAAGCTACCACGTGACGCCATGAATCCTTTTTTATCTCGGGTACGCAGATTTGGCAAGTACCAGTGGCCATTCAGTCTTTTCTTAATTGAAATTCAGCGCAAACCGAGGGTTAAAAGTAACAAAAAACTAAGCTTCAGATAAAAGTTGTAAAAGCGACTTTTTGTTTTTATAAGAGAGAGAAAAAAAAAGAGTACGGACAACAAGTATTGATCTCTTTCTCTCTCTCTTCCTTCTGCTGTTAATGTTATCTTTATATGCTGTCCAGAAACTATTTCAATACATCTTTGCTGTGGCACAAAGCGAGTGCTTTCTTAGCTGTAGCGAGTCAGTGTTTGCATGGCATTGTGCTATCGCTTTATCAGACACGCTGGTTGCTGTCACCCCTCCTTTCAGGGTGATAACAGCGGGGATTACTGTATAATTACACATCAATCCTCCAGCCGCTAGCCGGAATCACACAGAAGAGAAAACTGGCAGCGGTTAGAAATGTTTCACTGAGCTAAACGTGACCATTTTAAGCGCTTTTTTTTTCATGGATTTTAGGCCTCTACAAGTAAGAGGTATGGGCGTCAGTCTCTACTAGAAGCACTTTGAGACGCCCTGCGAAGGGCTTTATACTAATGCGAGTTGTTGTTGCATTATGTGCTCACCACAAGATCTGGAAATTCGCCTTTCAAAACCCTCCACAGCATTGCTCCTCCTTACCTCCGTGACCTGCTAACTCCATACAGACCAGCCCGCTCCCTCCAAGATCTGTATTGCTCCCATGTGCCCAGTGCAGCCCACCCCACCATTGCCAGTAGGGCATTCAACTTTTCTGTCCCCACCTTTTGGAATTCCATCACATAGTCCCTTCGTCTCACACCACCCACCCCATCCTCCACCCCCTCCTTTTGACCGCGCCTCCCGTTCTCAGAAGACACATTTTTAAATGCTTGAGTATTGGTTGCGAACTTAATATGAGTTGATACTCTTATCTCACTGAGACAGAAATATAATGATCAGCAAACACCACATGGGCCTGTCCTGAAATCAGACTACAACAACATAATCTCCTTCAGTTGGAACCATCCATTCTCCCAATAGAAGAAGACTATGGCATCCAATTGTTCCAACTAGAGAAGGCAGTGATGAAGTAATGAAATCTTTACCCAACTCCAAAGAGTTTTATAGGTTCCTGTTAAAACATGCACAGGAACAGGCCACATTGTTGGCCTATATCCTGTTCCTATATTTGTTCTCCCCAAGATTGGCAATAACAGCACAAAACATCCCATACGACAAACGTCCCTTTGAAGGACTAGGAAATAAATGTGTTCAAACTGCGAGCAGCAACAGCATTCAACCATCCTGGCAGCAAATGTCCAGTCAGCCAGTGCAAGATTGGGGGAAAAAAACAAACCAACTCATTAACTTCCATTTTTCAATGGTGACATTGAGTGATCGAGTGAGACGTTGTAGATTGAAAAAAATAATAATTGCAAGAACGAGACTGAAAATGATTGAGAAGAAAGGGGAGAGGTGGGGGGGGAAAAAAAAACAGAGAGACTTGTTGAAGAAACGGGACTCACCATCACCGAGATGTGAAGGATTCTGAGCTCTTCCTCTGCGGAGTCATTCTGAGAGTAGACGGTGGGGATGAGACCGGGGAGGCGATGAGCGGAGTTCTGGTGATGAACATGGAAGAGTAAGGTCCCGTTCTCCAGCCATTGCTGCCTCCAGCGAACATTGGGAATCTCCTCTGCATAGCCAGATATTTCTGTAAAGGAAAAAAAATATTTATAATAATATTACTTACGTTTGACATAGCACTTTATCATGTCGTTGAGACGTCTCAGCACTTCACAGAATATACTGTAAAGCAAATTTGCTGTGTATTTTGTGGGCGTAACGGGGCAATCAATTGTGCACAGCAATGTCTCCCAAACAGTCGTGAATTGAACGACCAATTTTTTTTTAAAAAAGGGATAATTACCCCCGGAAAGTGATCCAGCAATTGACTAACAACTGGGTTCCTGCTTACTGCTAAGTAAAAAGAGGCGTGTGGAGTGAAGAAACTTGCTTAAGCTTTCATCTGGCCCACAGGATCATCAAAAAAGTATGATAATTTTGCCCAAAAAATATCACTTTACAATATATTCCGTGAAGCACTTTGAGACATCTCAAATATGTGATGACACGTTATATCAAATGCAAGGAATATTATTATTATTGTTATTATAACTACCCTATTAATCTAAAAAAACACAAAAATATCATAATTTCTTCAATCTTTATTAGACATTGTAATGGTATCACGATTTTTTGGTCAGCGTGTATATTGATTTATAATCTCATACAAGTAAAAGCTCCCTGAAAGAAATTCCAAATGTAATAATATAACAACACTTCAGCTAATACAATATATAATCTGTCCTATATACTGTACCAGCAGTAACTTATTTATTGATTCAAACGAAACAGAAGCTAGCAGATTCTCTGAACTTCAATTAGAGTTCAATCAAAAAGAGGTAAAAGATATTGAACTTTCAAATTACAGTCTCTGTGAGCACACATACTTCATTCACCTCCTTGTCTAACCCAAACCATGAAATAATAGTGTTGCGTTCGATTATCATGAATAATTTTCCTATAATAGTAAAAAAAATTAATAACTACAGGATTCTTCATTGTAATTGGTAAACCATTAACTCTATACCCACATCAATCAAATGAATGACTTTCCTAAAGGTATATTGCCGGGCGAGAGATCAACTTTCGGATGCTCAATTTTATACATGAAATGGGTTCTTCTAGTGCCCCTACTTATGGAAACTAGTGTAATCCCTGACCTCAAGATATGACAGTTCATTCCCCGCCAATAGGCTTTCTGTGTATTCCTACATCACAATCAGTGAAGGCATTTTCTCCCTGTATTTTTAATGATAATAATAATCCCTGCCTTTGATAAAGCACCTTATCACGACATTGAAACATTTCAAAGCGCTTCACAGGGTATACTGTAAAGTGGACTGACTTTATATTTGGTGGCCAAAATATGTCAGCCAGTTGTGCATAACAGTGTCCCACAAGCAGGCATGGAGTGAGTGGCCAGTTTTACTTTGGGGGAAGAGGGGGGTTGGTTGTTGGCTAGGACACCGTGAGAGAGAAACTTTGCTTTTCGAACAGCGTCCACCTGATCAGGCAGATGGGACCTCGTTTTAACGTCTCATCTGAAGGACGGTATCTCCGATAATGCAACACACCCAAGGACTGCATTTGAATGTCAGCTTAGACTATGTGATTCCAAGTCCTGCCGTGGGGTTTGAATCCACAACTTATAACTCAGAGGCAAGAGTACCACCACTGTGTCATGCTGACAAAGCATTTCATTACATGCCCACATGTAATTATTGTCCTCACCTACAAAGCCCTCCATGACCTCGCCCCACTCTACCTCTGCGACCTCCTAACCCCCTAACAACCCGCCCATTCCGTCCGCTCAGCCGGCTCCAGCCTGCTCCACATCCTCCGATCCATCCGCCACTCTGCCCCCAACCTCTGGAAGTCCATTTCCCAATCACTCCGCCTCGCCCCCCCCCCCTCTTTAGCCTCCTTCAAGTCCCACCTCAAGACCCTCCCCATCGACCATGCGATTGGCCACCCCCCTTCCCCTCCCTTCTCCCCCCCTGACCCCAGCTCGGGTCTGAAATGCTGTACACTGTCCAGCACCTTGGGATGTCCTCCCGACGTGAAAGGTAGCTATACAAATGCACTCTTGTTGTTGTTTTATTATTATTATTATAATAAGGTCAGGGAGTTGAGGGGTGGATCCACCGCCAATGGATGCCCCACTTGCACCATTGTAGTTATTTATAATATATAATGATAAGCCTTGCATTTGATATAGCACCTGATCCCATTGTTGAGACGTCCCAAAGCGCTTCACAGAACACACTGTAAAGTGAATTGACTGTATATTTGTGGGCGAACGCGGCAGCCAATTGCGCACAGCAATGTCCCACAAACAGTCGTATATTGAAAATGACCAATTTATTATTGTTTTGGTTTTGGAAGGATTATTATTGTAAGTATTATTGTATTATAAGTAAAGAAATACTTCCTGATGTCTTTCCTGAAATTGCCCTTTGCAACTCTATACCTTAGTCCTCTTGTTCTACTCTCTTAACTGTTTGTGGGACACTGCTGTGCGCAATTGGCTACCGCGTTTTGCCCACAAAATACAGTCAATTCACTTTACAATATATTCTGTGAAGCGCTTTGGGATGCCTCGAAGACATGATAAGGTGCTGTCAAATGCAAGGTTATTATTATCCAACAGCAACCTGTTCCAGATGTTGATTACCATCTCTGTAAAGATATGTTGGCTGTGACAAGTGAACAATGATAGTACGCTTCACAATGGGCTAATGCAACTAAATGACCAGATCGAACCTGTCTCCGTGGAAGATTCACAACTCTTCATTCCACTTCACACAACTCCGTTATTAAAACGCACCAGGCATCCACCCACAAACATTCTAAAGTCAACTAGGTTGAAAGTTCTTTGACGTGTGACAGGCAAGAGAAGTGATTTTCTGCCTTCAGCAAATCTGTATTTTACAGTACGCCCACACACAGGTCACATAGAACAATGCCCTTTCACACACTCAATTGCATTTCAGCTGGATGATAATAATAATTATAACACTTGCATTTGATACAGCACCTTTCACATCGTCTCAAAGTGCTTTACTAGATACACTGTAAAGTGGATGGACTATATATTTTGTCGGTGTAATGTGGCAGCCAATGTCCCAAAACAGCCATGGAGTGAGTAACCAATTTTAAACCATAGTGCTGTGGGATTTTTAATGTCCACCTGGGCCTGAGCTCGGTTTAATGCCTCATCCGAAGGACGGCACCTCCGACAATGCAACACACCCCTGCAACACACCCCTAAGCACTGCTTTGGAGTGCCAGCTTAAACCATGTGATTTCAAGTCCAGACATGGGGGATTGAACCCACAGCCTTCTGACTCAGAGACGAGAGGGCTACCACTGCGCCAAGTGAAGTGCTTTGTGACGGAAACAATTAATATCACTGTTTTCACAACCTGTGAATACTGGGACAAGAGTGGGCAATGGGATGCAATCCAAATGGCACCTTCTGTATAAAGTATTCCTGTTACCACAAAGATTGTTTTTTGGTGAAATAGCTTACGTAAATAGCACCTTCTCTGTTGCTGATCAACTGCAGAATGCCTTTGAATTTTGAAGCACAGGATGCCAGAACATGTAAGTTATTTCAAGGCTTGTTGTTCATTGTTCCCAATGTGAAATGTGAACTTATTAAAACCGGGCATTCCACAGGAGACCTGTGGCTGTACAGATGTGTTTTATAATCCTAAGAATCTTTGCATTTATAGAGTGTTGCCCTTCAGGCAGCACTTTACAAAGACAGGGTTGGACACTGAACCTGTTGCAGGGTGGGGTGGAGGAGGGGCCGGGGAGGAGGAAAAGGTGGAGGTGGCTGTGGGAGAGTAGCAGAGGTAGCGTTCTACCATCACTTGTGGACAAACATAGAAGAAAGAGAGAGACAGACACATACACATTACAACACAGGGGAAAGAAGGCAATATCACTTCACACTATCTACTGATCTCAAACTGTGCACGATCCAATCTTTTATTTGATTTGTCATCCAGTTGAGTAAATGGGAGTGCGTTAAAGGCCAGGATTGTTCTAGTGAGTGGTGAATGTGGGTGTACTGTAAAATATAGATTTACTGAAGGGAGATAATCTCTTCTTTTGCCGAGCACACGACGAAGGATGCTCAACCCAATTGATTTTAGAATTTACCTCCTCAGATGTACTGAAGAACAGGATGAAGGCACGGTCCCACATTATCAAAAAAAGGTGGGATTCATACAACAGCTGGGATGTTTCAGCCGCATGGTTACGAGTCAAACACGGCTCAGACGTAACTGAGATATATTTGGGAAAGACAATAATAATAATCCTTATTTTTGGTACAGAGCCCTATCAAATCATTGAGGCATCTTAAGGCACTTCACAGAATATATTATAAAGTGAATTGACTATGTATTTTGTGGGCGAAATGCATAGCCAATTGTGCACAGCAGTGTCCCACACACACTCGTGGATTGAGTGACCAAATTTAAAACGTACATTGAGGGATTATTACCTGTGGAAAGTGATCCGCCAATCGACTAACAGGTTCCTACTTACTTTAGGTAAACAGATGCACATTTCAGTTGTTGCTTCCCAACTTCGCTCTTTCACTTTTCAAACTAAGTTCTGTGAGCTGATCGCCCTCATCCTCACCCAGCTTCACTGGCTCCCCATCCCCCAGAGGATTGTGTTCAAGATCTTCGGCCTTACTTTTGAGGCTCTCCATGGTCTTGCTCCTCCCTCTGCTCTGCAACCTACTAAACATCATCAACCTGTTCGCTCTCTCCACTCAGTCGGCATCAGTTGTTCCATGTGAGCAAATTTGAGTGAATTGTTTTTGTGGGGAGAGATTATTACCCCGGGAAAGTGATCCACCAATTGACTAACAACCAGGTTCCTGCTTACTGCTTGGCAAACAGAGATGTGTGGAGTAAGAAAACATGTCTAAGGTTTCGCACTGCCCAGGAATTGAACCAGGGGGTTCCTCTCGCCTGCGAGCCAAGCATGCTAACTACTATACCACTGGCCGCTGAAACTCTTGTTCATGCCTTCATCATCTCCAGGCTCGACTGTGCAAATGCCCTG